ACTAGCTTGCCGTTGGCACGAAGCTGATGGTCTACAAATCCATGGTGTTGTGCGTTCTTCTATATGGCAGTGAAACATGGACGATGTACCGGCCAGATGTGAGATATCTCGAGCGATTTCACCAACATTGTCTGCGCATCGATTGATGCGACAGTTGCGGACACAGAGATGTTGTGCCGAAGTGGAATGTATGCAGTAAACTTCATACTTTTGCTAAGGCACCTGAGGTGGCTCGGTCATGTGAGCCATGTGGATTCGACGCGGATACCGAACCAACTATTATATGGTCAGCTGAGTATTGGGAAGTAGCATGTGGGGAAACCGAAGCTTCACTACCAGCCCCTGAGTTATGTACGCCTGGTACGCCTGGTTACTGAATTATGCATGAATGCTGCTGCTGTGCATGTTAAAGGTGTGCGAGCCGGCTCCGTTAAAGAAATCTGGCTCCCACCCACATGCCTCCCGGTCTTATTCCTTCGGGTTTACACTGTGTATGGGATGTGTTGATGGAGCTGTGGGTGGTGCAGCGCAAGCCACCCATGGTCCTTCTGTAGGCGCAGACGTACTGTGGCCGTCTTAAGGAGACCGCAGTGACACTCAAATCGGGAACCGCATGCTGCCAGCTAAATATCGTCCTGACGGATTCATGCAGCTCTACTTGAGATTCAGCGTGGCCTAAATCAAGTTTGGACAACTTCTGGCCATCTGATTGAGTTGCGTGTAGGTCCTCTATCCGCAGAATAGTGTAGTGTTCTGAGAACTGAGAACTGAGAACTGGTGCGAAGCAGCGAGTAGAGGTTTCTCTGTGTAGCTGCATCATTCGTCGTTTTCGGACATGAACTTTTTATTTATCGTTTCGCTCTTTGTACTTTGCCTCTGCAAATTGTTGGTCTAGTAGCATCTTGAATTTAGATATGGTGTTCGCTTCTACTATATGCTGAGGCAGGTCGTTCCAGACATTCACCACTCTGCGTTCGAAACAGAGTTGATGGGCGACCCGCTTCAAATCCGGGACGATAAGTTTATACCGGTGTCCTCGCGTGCAGCTTGGTGTGCGCAGATGAAGTAGTTGTCGCAACATGGGGTAATCACCCAGATGTAATATTCGGTGCGTCATGATGAGGTCGACCCTCAGCCGACGATAAGATAGGGTGTATAACCCTAGTTTCTTACATCGGTCTTCGTATGGCATACCTCGTAAGTTGGGAATCAGCCTAGTGGCTACATGCTGCACCCGCTCAAGCTTCTCTACCTCGCCCAGCGTGATGGGACAATATGCGGGAGAGCCGTACTCTAGCATTGGTCGTATTATCGAGACAAAGAGGCGAGTGGCAATCTCTTCGGACCAAGTGCTAAAGCTGCGCCTGAGAGCCCAAAGCATACAAAGGCTGTTTTGGTACAGCCTATTCGTGTTGTCAATGGACTTTAGGTCGCAGCGTGAGAGTACACCGAGGTCGCGCACGAAAGGAGCGGGATGCAACGGTTGACCAGCCACTGTGTACGTTCGGCCGTGATCACACTTACCCAACCTCATGAATTGCGAGTTGGCAGGGTTGATCGGAAGGTTAACCTCTGCAGACCATGTCGAGAGGCGGTCGAGATCCTGCTGAAGTAAATCGCAATCATTGAGTGTGCGGATTACTCTCCACACTTTCAAGTCATCTGCGAACAAAGCACAATGTGATTGTAGTAGCTGAGGCACATCGTTTATATGGATTAGAAACAATATCGGGCCCAGTACAGTGCCTTGGGGCACGCCGCTGCTCGATGGATACCACTCAGTTAGATGGTTGTCCACCTGGACTCTCCACTTCCGATCAATAAGGAAATTGCTGATCCATTTGTGCAGCGAACCACCAACACCGCACATCCTCAGTCTGTCAAGGAGCACTGCATGGTTAACCTTGTCAAAAGCCTTACTGAAGTCAATGTAAATGACGTCAACCGATTGGCCTTTGTTCAGCGCTTGTAACCATTCGTGCCTCGTCAACAGTAGGTTGGTGATGCACGAACGACCTTTCAGGAAACCATGCTGTGCGGAGGTTAACAGGTTTTTCGACTCGAGAAGTTGCAGTAGGCTCTTCTTCACTATCTTCTCGAGCGTCTTTGCCAAAACTGCCGTCAGGCAGATCGGCCGGTAGTTATTCACTTTGCTTGGGTTACCACCTTTCGGTATGGGCTTTACGACTGAGCATTTCCAGTCGTCCGGTAGTAGACCAGTGGATAGTGACCTGTTAAACAGTTCAGTTACGGAAGGTGCAATTATGGTCGATAATGACTTGAGGATTAGTGGGTGTATACCATCTGGCCCAGCAGGTTTCGTCCCGTCAAGATTTGCTAGAAGCTTGCGTACATCCTCAATATTGCAGTCCAGGCTGTTAAGTTCGGCTGGAGCGGTGCTCGTCGAACTCATTACAGACACCTAGTCACTTGCGAATACGGAGGCGAAGTGCGTTGCCAATGCTGACGCACGATCTGATGTCGCCGCTTGCTTGGCGGTTTATAATCACCACAAATACAGACGTTACTATCTGGTTTTTGTACTGGGACAGTTGGCGTGGCCCAAGATGAGTGGTGTACAAGCGATAATATTCCCACTCTTTGGTGGCGCTCCAGCTCTAACTCAACTTTCGGACGGATTGCAGAAGGTAAGCTTGTTACTTTAGAAAATTTAGGCTAGGCGTCCAGTCTGATGCAACATATTGTAGGAAACGTGGCAAAGTTTCATCAGTCACACAAGGGTACATTCTCAATAACCAAGGGATATCTGGTATACAGACCAATTTTTCGACGGTTCGTAGTAGTTCCGGCATATGTTTGAGCCAGTTTCTGCCAAGTAACTTCGGATCATCAGTGTTAACAACAAGTAATGGTAGCGTAAAAGTGTCAATCCAACGAGTAAATCTCGAATCACACATCTCCACTATATCGAGTGATTCACTAGTGGACGAACGTAAACTTGTCTGGGTCGGGACCAGCGGCAGGTCGGGCAGTGCACGATTTTTGACCAACGTAACTGTGGCCCCCCAGTGTCGATTTCGAGGCGCACAGCTTGGCTTTTAATCTCAAATTCCACAGTGTATGAAGGTATTCCGCGCACATGCGATGTGGTAGTATGTGAAATCAATTAAGATATGGACTCATCGGAGTTCTCTACTGTCCGTACAGTATTTGATAGAGGACAAGATATACGACGTGGAAGCACTGTTGCGCGGCAAACACGCGCGAGTTGTCCGACCTTGCCACACCTGTGGCTGGTGGATTGTTTGTGACTGCAATCAGTTACCCTTTTATGTCTTTCCCCACACCTGTAGCACATAATGGAGCGTTTATTGTTTGGTGATGATGTACGTCTGACCGCGTGGATTACATCTGAGGGGTAATCATGTTGGTGGTGAATTAAGTGTTGAACCACATCTTCTCTGCTTCACCACGTGCATGCGACTTTCGAAATAAGGTTGCTTTTGTCTTCAGACAGTAAGCGTTCTGAGATCTTGTTGTCGCGAATGCTATCCAGAAGACCTTGGATAGCCATTACCTCCTCAAATTTCATGGACAGGACTGTTGTATGCGAGTTTTAAATTCGTTAACATTTTCTTCTCCCTACCGTATTTTGGAACATTTTAATCGCACAGTAAACACAGATTGTTATAAGCCCCAAAAACCATCCAGCAGTTTCAGATAGTGTGACAGGGAAGTGTTTCCATACGACCGTGGTGCACTGAAATGCCTCTGCACCCAGGTGTTGTTTTAACAGTTTAACCAATTGAAGAGCTAGTGATAGTCACAGAATGTTCTCTTCCACTGACTACAACTTGCAAGGAATGACTTGGAGGTCTCTTCTTTTCAAACCAGATCAGGTGGAATAATGTGACTTATAACCAATTACTCCAGGTATAGACCCCGTCGCCAATGTTGAAGTTCACACGTTCTGAACTAACACAAGCCTGCGAACGTAGTAATGGACCGTAGCCGAACGACGCAAGGACACCAGTATACACCGACCTGGTAGCACGCAACATGTATTCTGGCAGGAACGTGTACAGAGGATCGGTTACGAAGCTGAGACCAAGTCACTAGTGAATGCGTAACCGATAGACAGGCATGTATGGACAGTCAATGCTGGGCATGAACTTCCGACTGGCGATAGTGACTCATTCGCCACAGACATGTCAGCCAAATCTCAGTGAGCTTTCTGCGGTTTCATTATTCTTCTGGTTTCCGTTGATTTTGAGGGACTTCATCTAACTCCGTTTTCAATGTAGTCACTGATTGGGTCCCGCTACCTTGCTCTGAGAGTAACAACAAGCGACCGCATGAGACAGTGACAATTGAACACTGAACCGACCTGACACAAGGATCTTTCAGTAGAGTGTGGGCCAGTTTTCGAGGTTGTCACTCGTCACCACAGCGAACGTTGAAAAACAAGTTCTGTTTTTGAGATAACCTATGAGACGCCTCTCTATGCTGAAACTATTCGGAGTGCCCCGCACTTGCTGAATTGGAACAGCAAACTACTCGGATCAGAAGGTTACTCAGCGTAGAATTTTCACATTCTTTTTCATCAAATTGCTTTCTTGTTTCACCGGCATCTTTCAAGTAATGACTGGAAGTGCAGACGCAGCACTCAGCTTACTTGGCGTGGTATTTTCATACGCAGATCAGCCTATCACCTGGTTCGAATGTGATGCTAACTCCATTTAACATTGAAACTACCTCTCATTTCCTATCGAGGGTGACGAATCCATCCTGTGCTTGTTTATCTGGCAATTTTCTGTAAATCTTAACAGATTCATCCTTGCTTGTAACTTATCGCTTTACGGTAGCCAGCAGCGTCTTGTTCTATAGTGAATATTGCAGATTCGGTCGCTTTACTGTGGCATTTCACTGTGGCATTTATCAAATGGTGAAACTAGTCCTGTACTTGCTAAGAGAACCGAGTTCCGTGGTCCATTCAAAGAAATTCATCGATTCCATCCAACTTTGTTCTATTTTTTCAGTTGCAAGCAAGTCGTTCGCGGCATTGAGACCCTTTTTCCTACCTGTCGACCAGATTTGGTTATTCAACTTTTCAAGGAGGCGGCGGTGCAGCCCTCCAAACGTCCCACTCAAGTATGTAAGCTTTCTTGGCACATTTACTAACTTATTTTATCACCGTTAATAATTTTGGAGTCATTGTGATAGGATAAAAACCCAGTAACCTAGGTGTTTACTCATCTTATTTGGCGTGTGTTTTCGGCCATCAGTTATATTTGCTTCTTGTACGCTTCATGTGTTTTTACGGGCTTGGTCGGGCACCGATTGGCATTTCACATATTCACACCGCGCACACATCAAATATGTGCTAGTTGATAGGAGGGGATGAAGGGGGAGAACGGATGTATGTGTGTCGTTTTTGTTTTACTATGGTTGTTCTTTCTTGCCTACACTATTTAGGTTGGATCGGTATCCTTATAATATGAGGTTAACTTTCAATCATAATTGCGCATCGGTATCAGGAGGCTGCAACTCATTTAGGTTTTTAGAGCAAAAAGTGTTTTACATGATGCGCCTGTTAGATTTTATTTTGAACACTCGAACTTATTCTCTAGATGGAAGTTCGCCGCGTAAAGACTGAGTGCGATGTCCGCGTTTAAATCTCTTCCTTTTTTGTTAACTAGATTGGACAAGAATGTTTAAACCAGTCGCTCGCCTGGGCAAGATTTGTCAATGTAAACGCTTGAATGCAAGCGCCAGGGTGCACTGGATGATTTGACGGAGTAGTTACATTAGCCAATATCTTTCATTTAAGAAAACAAACGGCATTCACTCCATAGAAAATACTTTCTGCATCATTTTTATTCTCTGGGCGTCTATTAGAATCGGTCAGATTCTACTTCGACATAATCATCTATTGGTTTTTGCATTAGATTGTGATTATGCTTGGGATTGCCACTGTCGAACGATCCTGCATCGTGGGTGAGCATTTGACTTGTCTCGCATCGTCGGGAATAAACGTTAATTTGTCTTATTCTTCTTCTTCCCTTCTTACCAGTCCAGCTTTCGGTTGAGGCAAGCACGTGATATCGGCTTGCGGGCCCACTTCTTGTGCTTACTTTTGCTCACATTAGCTTTCTGTTTAGGTTTGGCGCAAGCGTCATTTCTTCAATGTCGCATCGCTCACCTAACTTTCTCAGGATTCCTTACGATGCACGCCTCATTAATTGTCACTGGCACGCAGAACGCGGCAGTGTAGATCCGGCCACCATGGCTTTTATGCAGCCTCAACTTTGTTGATCAGCATGCGCTGGATTGGGGAAGTTTTCCCAACAGTTCACGTTAAGTCCAAACGACGCAGGCCAAAGTCACCATCTTGAGCAGATTACTGGCATCTGCCAATCACTGTTTGTGGATTAATCAGACTGAGGCACCTTTGACGTCGTTACGATTTCAGTATCCAACTCATTGGCACGGTGTACATTACTTCCGTCCGTGCAGTCATCTTGTACGCCTGTGAGACCTGGCTTATTCGCTCGGAAGATATGAAGCGATTGTCAGTTTTTGACAGTCATTGCCTACAAAGGATTGCTCATGTGTGGTAACAACATCACGTAAACAACCGAGACCGAGTGTTTGGAGCAAACAGCCCGTTCCTCCAAAACGTTATTCTCAGACATCTCATACGTTGTTTCGGCCACGTAGTTCGCATTCCAGCCTATCGCCTTGACCGGTGAGCGTTATTTATGCTCTCCGGAAGCGATTGGAAAAAGTGCCGCGGTGGACAACCAATGACATGGAGAAGGAGCATGAAAAAGGCAACCTTAAGTTTAGCATCCGTCTGACTGGCCCGCCTTGCAGGATGAGAACCCTGCGACTTGAACTTCCAGTGATTGGAAACGCTGTACGTTATGATGCGCCCCAGACATCAGTGGCAACAGTGTTGACCAGTCGCATCATTTGTTAGTTAATGTCTACTGGAACATAAATAATTCCAAAACAAAAGTAGCTCAAAATGGCGTGCGCAAAACCCAAAAAATCGTTTCGTCCTCCTATTGTATTACATTTCCTCCTTTTTCTGCTATGATTACGATGACACATTACCTATAATCAGATTATGAATATTATGTGAATATTATCTAAATACCAAATTTCATGAATACATGTCTGCTGTTTTCTTGATTCACTTGTTAGAGAGAAAGGGCCTCGCTGCTCACCCCGTGCATAGTTCTTTGTCTCATGAGTCATTTCACTAAAGTCTCATTAGCAGCATTTCCACTGCCTTCCATTTTCTTCTCTCTCTTCCACAATCAAACCTGAATTTTCTGTTCTCTCTCCTCTGTTACTTTGAGGCTAGTAGGCGGACAGACGCATCGAAATCCTTGGGTTGTAGATCTCTTTGCTGCTTGCATTATGGTTGTTTATGATTGCATGCCATCTCTGAGACAGGAGCTTTTGGCTCATGCTGGTAGCTCGACTCGTAGCTGAACAACTGTTGTACTGCTATCTTGCTTCATCTGCTAGACTGCGACCGTCGGACGGCTCAGTCACGCGCCTAGCCAACCGAAGTAATACAAAAGGCCAAGACTCGGTAGACAGGGTATATTCTACAGGATAGGTCAACTCTAATTATTGGTGAAAGAAACATAGTAATTTTGGAAGCCCATGTCACCCGCTCTTCTGCGTCTGGTTCTCAGCCAATGTGAGTGAATTCCGTCCACAGGTTTTCCATATTTGACAGAATGTTTCGCCTCCTTTGACGCCGGCTTATATTTGCTGGCCAATCCATTCCACATGATTCCCATATTTGACGGAACAATCGTAGGTCGTTCCCCACTCGGGCTGATGACCTTCACATGCAGCAGCAGCTCACATGCTCCGCGGTACGCCCGCGCGTAACCTCATATCTGAACATTGGCTCGGCTTACCTCTCTATTAATAAATAATGACCAGAAATGTCGCCTCCAGTCTGTTGCCTTCACTGTTTCTTCTACCTTTCGCCAGGACTGTTTTTTTACCAGACCTACTCCTGGGGACTACGAGTGAAACTAAGTAATTATATCAAGTCCTACTGCAATTCCGTTGAGTTTCTGACACGATCCTATTAGAATCTACACTCACTCCTTTTACTGTTGTTTTGTCTCCGCTCTCTCCCTCTTCTGATTTGGTTTTGGATTTTCTGCTCTCATTCTTGCCGCTAACGGTCTACTTCTTTCATGCCTAAAGCCATACTTCAATGCTGCGTTACCGTTTCGCATAGGAACTTCCAACCTCCGATCATCATGAAATGAGTTAACCATCGTACTGACTGTGTCATTTCTCCTTCTCCGGAGTTGTTGGGGCTACACCGTCGAGGCGATAGCACAGAGTTTACTACATCTTCGCATACCCAAACCTTTGCTTTAATGGCGCGGTTTGCACATATGTTTGGTTACTCGTAGAATCTATGGTTTTGGAATCGCTCTCAACAGAACTGTGTCGGATTTCCCACCAAGCAGGGTAGAGTACACGCTTTGGTTTCTTAGTCGATACTCATTGAGCGAACCTAGTGTATCCTTTTTGTATTTATCTATGCTCCCAACCCGGATATCTCGGAGTCCGTCAAGAGCGAACTATATGACCGGACTTTTTTCATTTTTCTATCCTAATAGTTGTGAGTGACGCTCAGGTTTGTCGCCTACGAATTCTGTAGCACTCTTTCTGGGGGGGGGGGGGTTCGCTTCGTTTCCTATTTGATTCTTATCGTAAATGCGATAGCTGCCATGTTTTCGTTTTTGTACAGTATCCTAGCACCTCCGAATTGTTTATCCACTTGGGGCACTTATCTGATTCCTGACCAGACCCTCATACGCGCTAGCACAATGATCAATCTTGTGATTTTGATAAAGTGCTCACTTTTGGTCGCAATCCACAAGGATGCATGCTTCAATGTAAGGTTAGTGAGCAGAATTTGCGATGAAATCATCCCCAATGCGCTGTGCGAAATTTCTAAATTTTGTCCTTCCAGCGTATAGTGTCCTAGGTTACGTTAGATTTTGGAAGCGATTTCTTAGAATAGAGGAAGATAGTTATGATTCACTTTGAATGTCGATAACGCTGTGAAACAGCGTGTAACAAAGTGACTCAAGCCTGATGCTGACTGATTACGGGAACCAATATGATGAATACGTCAGATGTAGCTAGGCTCAGTCGCGTAACGCTCCGTGATCCAATCAGTAGCTGGGAAAGGTGGTCACCTGGTTCTTTTTCAGTCACAACTTCTTCCTTTGGTCGAACACTTTGTAATCGTTATGTAAGAATTGTTAGTTATATACATCCTTGGACTCATTTAAGCGTTGAATTCTCCGCCATGGCCATTGTGTGATCTGATACGAACTATAATGCAGTTGAATTGGAACCTATGAACAAATTGGAGTGTATGCGGTCTCCCTACATTTTGGCATAGTAATAGGCCACACCAGTGATGAACGATCTCCTCTACCGTTACGATGTTGCCGGTCTGCTTATTCTCTTATCCTTGCTCTTCTCATCTTGTTTCTTATCTGTGTCAACGGAGTTGTTTCTCTGTATTTACGTATTTATTCTAATTTTACACCCCTTTTGTTGTTGTTTCCACCTATTGCACCGAAATGTCCACAGTGCTTTGACACACCGAGCGCAATTGCCTAACTGAACCGATTGTTACCGGATATGTTAAACGGTATTCTTACCGGATTCGGGGGTTGTCCTCACGGGGACTGTCGATCCACAGATAGCGAATCACATGTTCGATGCCACATTGAAGTAGTTTTAGCAAACATGCTAACCGTGTATGCTGCACATTTTCATCTAAACCTCACTACTGAGTTGTACATCATCAAGATTTGCACACCCTGAAATTTCGCCTACATTGCGACTGTACTTTATAACCAAGCTTAATCAAAGCAACTTTGTGGAATAAAAAACAGCGTAATTCTGTGTACACTATTTTTTTAGCTTGTTTTAGCGAGCGGAGCGACTGGTTCTAAACATCTCGTTTGTTTTGTTTGCAGCTCTCTATCCAGGAATTTCGTGACTTATGCTCCGTGTACCAGCGCATTTGCCAGCAAAATTCGGACATATTCGGTTTTCACTACACCGCCCGGGAAAACTTGCCACATTGGCATAAACGAAAACAGATTCAGCGCGACATCCTCGGGTCGGAGCAAACATTGAATGTAGAATACGTTCGACAACAGATGGTTCATTGAGTGCTACGTGTGAATTCTACTCCAGGCGCATTTACCAATGTTCGTCGACGATCGTGTAAATTACATTAGATCCTACGCTCAATCGTGTCTTGAATATTCTCCCTACTCCTGCATCTTCCGGTGTTTTTACTTCGGAACAATACATTCTAGACGGGTTTATTGCCATTCCATTCGGCCCAGCCCACCAGTTTTTTTTACATTTACCAGGCTTTAGATCAAATACTCTGGATGAAATGTTATATGGTCTTGTTTCTCTATTCTTTGGACCTCCACTGCATCTTGCGTGTCCTCCCCTTCTCTATTTTACCTCTTTGCTGCTCATCGCTATCACAATACCTTTCACCTCTACTTCTTTCGCTTCTAACATCTAATCTGTCCTTTCCATGATGGTTGGCGCGTCGGACAATTGGCCCTGTGTCCCTGTATTGTCTAGTGCTGTGCACCGCTTCCTGTCTCCCATCCCATGTCTTTTTCTCTTCTAGCAATTGGCGGCTCTATGGCCGAGGACATTACTGACGGTCTAAAATTCGCGCGTTTTTATTTTTATCCAGTGACCTTCACACTGACTTCCTCTCATTTTCCGCATTTTTGTAATTGGCGCTTAAAACTATCGTTTGTTTCGATGACTTTTTCTTTACTTTTTTCTCTCTTATAGTTAAACTGTAGACAGCTGGACGCTTCATTCTGCGACAGAAACCGCTGAACCACTTCACAATACAAAATTCGGGTATTTTGTTACACTGACCGTGTATTTACAAGGGAAACTCACACGAATTCATTCATTATTAGGATTTTGTCTCAGTTTACCGTGCTGAAGCAACTTGCTGTGGATAGTGCAATGGAAAAACTCCGTACATAGTTATGTTTTTACGCATTGTGGCTTGATTCAGTAGCGTGTACCTGATTTTCCAGTCACGGAATCCGTGAGATAAGAATTAAAAACAGTGTGGTTGCCTAAATTGTAAGTTGCAAATCCGTATTGCTCTGCCGGGTATCTGTTTGATGATGATCGCTGTGTGCCCAACGACTCATCCCAAGCGATCGTCATTCCAGTGTTCCCCATTGGGAATGGATTGAATTGATCCACGTCTGTATACCGCAGAACGTCTTGCAAACTGTGTTCATATGGTCCGTCAGTATCGATTGATGACCATTGGAGTGCCGACTGTTGAACCTTCATAGTTCCATAGACAGCTGTAATGTTTGTAAAATGCAATTATCTATGGTAAGGTAGACAGGAAATAACGGGTCTCATTCTACAGGGAGATCTATGTGACTGACACACCATGTCATTTCGTTGACTATGATATGTTACTGCATCTCACCACGAAACGTAAAATGCCGTCGCAATCAGCAACTATGGAGTCAGCGGCAAAATGATTTCAAGCATGATTAGTGGCATTTGAAAAAAATTTGGTGCATCCCTTATCTGCTCGCCCTTATGGCATATCTCTTAGTCATCTAGGTAACTAGTCACTTGCTCAACTTGCGACTTCATCACTTGGTTCTCTGGCCACTGGTCATCCATTCATCGGCTCACAAATATGGACCGATCGTATGGCGTGACGTTATCATCGCTAATACTCGTCGTTACCATGCGAAGTGCGTCAAAGTCTGTCGAATTGGTGTCATAACGCTGTTCCCGCAATCGACCGGTCGGTTCACGCCTGCTGGGAAATTTGCGCCCTTACGCCTGCTCTACTTGACGTCTTGGCCAACGCGACGGGAAGGAAAACAGAAGACTCAGCCGACCAGAGTTGTATTAGAACCGAGAACGCTCATATTTATAGGTCGGTCTCATCAATCCTCTAAACACCGCCTGGCGGATTTGGCTACCTGTCTTTCTCGTACGCCCACGCTCCACACTTGACTGTCCGCTCCGTCTGGGCAGTTCACCGTCTTGCTCGGGCACACCAGTCTTTATCCGCCTATCCGGGGCATGGCGACGTGCATGATGGCTGATGCGCGATTTCATCAGCTTTCGGCTGGGCCCTGGGAACACGCTCGCACGGTCTTGCCCAAGCACGATTTGTGGCAAACACGCGCGCGTTGGTAATCAGCTTTCTCGCCCACCTGTCACTTGGTTCCGGTCTAAGTGTATAACTGTTCCACTTGTAAAATGTGTACTAGCAATAGCCCAAAACTACGCCAGTCTAATCACCGGAACTGAACTATGTTTAAATGCGAAAATGGCCTTGCTCGAAGCGACAAAAGTACAGCCTGCACCTCATCCGCCTCCCCAATTGCTGCCTCAAAGCCAAGCAAATGAGCCAGGCGTTCCCACGGCCTCGCAGCACTGAAAACCTTGGAAACAACGATCCAGCTAATCACCGCGAACGATCGAAGCATGCCCAGCTTTACCGCCTACATCCTCTTATCCATTGTATAGACTGATGTAACATCGGTAACATCTACCCTTCCGATTGACCGAAAAAATGCAAACTCTAAAGACTGATCCACTTATGCAGCCGTTGCTGCTTGGTATACTCAAATTGTGACTTCAGTAGCCTCACCTTGTAAAGCCACAACACGGGTCATGGACCAGGTGCAACCTGAAGAGACTTCACCAAAGTTCTGGGTAGCTGTGCTCCCCACATCACCGATTACCAGGCGGAACTACGGTGCTCTGACACTCATATGCACCGAGGTTCCTTAGTACAAGGGGCAACCACCAGAAAGATTTGAAACAATGAGATTTCATTTGTGGTCGAATCAGAGTTTGGAGTGGACCGACCGATTTAATGCGCATCACTAGGCATCCCATTTCCCTGCACTACTGTGAGTCCCAGTTATCTTATATTACCAAATATAAGCCGATGATTTTTGTGCAATTTTTCGTTTCCGTAGAGGTGTGCGGTCGGCTTATAATGAGGCTATACGGAATTTGAAAAAATTCACATGCAAAATCCACTCAAGAAGTCACTGCACGCCACTGTCCTTATCTCCTCTTAGCATCACCCGTTTGTGACGGACGGTATTCCAGACGCGGAGTTGAAGTGCCTATAACTGGACACCTTACTTTTATGTCCAAAATTCCCGGTATGTAGCACATTTGAAGTTCGCCATGGATGGGAGTAGGGAATCAAAATCCCTTAAACATTTTGTTATGTCTGGCGATCCGGTGCCTTAAAACTACGACGTCATCCCACACTCTTGACCATGGACTTCACTTTCACTCACTGCTCTACTGTGGTTTATGTGCCTGAGGCCCCCGACTATGCGATGTCTGACATCCTCTCAACTTGCCATACATTGTCGACTGTCTTATCTGTTTCATGTTATTTGTAGTCTGGTCATTACACTCCGGTATGGTAGAACTATGTTCTGACGGCTCTACGCCCCATTAACAGCAATCATAACATATTAGGGTCACTACAACTGACCAGTAGTAGATCAGGTTGCGCTTGAACTCATTCAAGTGAGAACAGGCAATGATGATGTCAAAATCCTGGCGAAACTATTTCGTTTCTCTTTCGCTGCTTTTTTAGAGCTCGGCTAATGCAGGGACTTACGATCTTGGACAAATTTGATGTTGCAAAGTTAGCTGTCGGTAATATACGACAACAAGAGTAACTTTGGTAAACACAGATGATGCCAAGACAGCGCTTTTGTCGACATACCGCCTGCGGTTAGGTAGGCATTTTTCCAGATGTTCCTTGGAGCAAATGCTAGCGGAACAAAAATAATTCAAACTACTGTCACACGGAGAGTAGCGAAAAAACCATTTTCATAGCGTGCCCGAGTTACCGGCAGCTAGTGACGGGGAAGCCTGTGCTGATGACTTCTAAGACGGTACATCAGTGAAGCTGGTGACGTCAACAGTCGCTTACGTGGTTACCCGTGTCGCCTTAGTACAAAGGGATTTGCCCGAAGGTACCGAAACTTAATGTTCTGTCTTAACATCTGGCGAGGAATTTAATACGTACCTGGCATAGACTGCGCAACACCCTTCGGAACTACGATTAAAGGCAACAATTAAAAAACCACAGCCACCCGATCTCATCCCGTAAACATCGCCACGCACGACTCAATGTAACCAAAACAGCGTTTCAGTAAGCTGTGTTCTTTGACTAGTAACTGTCGAGAAAGCTAAAAATGCACTGCATGTGCAGGCGAGACCGGAAACAAATTGCTTTCATATCGAGATTTAGCAAATTACTCATCGTTTGGTACGAATTCATCTCCTTTATATGCCCCTTGTCGAGAGGTTCTGCCATCTTACAATCTTTCTTGTATGTACACTAATACTCGAAATCTACTTGGTAAACTTTTCGAATTGCGACTCTTAAGTATATAAGGCTTGTGACCTCATCGCCATAACCTAGGCATGGTTACGCCCCAACATAAGTAACATCGAGATTGCGCTGCCAGTGTACGCAAGGTGAAACGGGGAATTCCTCTTCAAACCGCGGAGGGACTGACAAGGATTCCGAAGGTTGCAGCGAATACCCTGCGCCCGCCAAATGCTCTAATATTTCGGTGCGTTCAGGGGCCACCTAGCCCTATGTCAAGTGTTGTGTCACCCCAAAAGCTCACTCATATATCGTTCACAGCAGGAACTGTAATGAAAAAGCTGCTGAGTATTCGTAAGCACAGCCCATTTGATAACATTCACGTGAAGTCAGTTGCGGCGGTAAGAGAGAGGTTAGTTGAGCCTTTGGCTCTCTTCTTCCAACACTGTTTTTATGAAACTTATCTGCTCAACATGTGGGAACACCGGATGATTACTTTGATTCACAAGGGTAATAGTCGTTCCGATCCAGCCAACTACCGTCTCGTAATCCTACAACCGGCACTTTCAAATGTCATGGAAGCCATATTGCCGATGCCCTAGCGGCCTACCTCGCACCAGCACGGCATGGCTTCCGACGAAGTCGATCTTGCGCTACATGTCTATTGCTAGCACCATGAAGCTAGACCGAAGCCTTTGGTATTGTTGGTCTTCTCCTAGGGTGCTTCTGAAGCCTACTTCTACACCGGCGCTTGGAGATAGGAGTAAGTAAATCCCTATCAGATCCTATCCGCTGAATGCAGAGTACCAAGAAGATTAGTACAGGGGCTACGGTTAGTTTTGACGTATATCAACAATATACCGCAACTTATAAGCTCGTACTGCCCATTGTATACCGAAGACATGAAGCTGTGGTAGGCGATAAATACATTAGATAATATACTACTTCAAGCCGATCTGGATAGGCTATGCGCGTGGTCAATCCAGAATATGCTTCCTTTCAATGTGGACACATGTAGAGTGCTGCACTTACGGCACAACTTAGTTTACTCCTGCAAACTTGACAACCATGAGCTTCAAGCGTCTTCTAGTGAAAAGCATCTGGGCGTTATAGTCCAGACCGAACTTGGTTGTTCGAGTCAAACTGAACAGGCGTCAGAGAGGCGCATTCAAAACCTGGGCCTTCCGGGGTGCTCATTCAGACTCTTCGATCCTTCGATTTTTCCACAGCTTTTCGGCTCATACACAAGGGGAATACGCAATACTCGTCTGGCAGTTAAGACTGATGAACGATCTCAACCTTGGAGACACCCCAACACCGGGCAACCAAGACTTGTACACCTCGCCTTATGAACATAAGCTACCAGTGCTACGGGTCTTCAGTGTTCAGTACAGCCGATCGCATGGCGGCCTTATTTTAAGTTACCACATCTTGTGGCATCCCAAACACACGGGCCGCCATCTGCTAGAGCTTAGTTACACCATTAATCTGAGAGGCCACCATCTCAAACTGGCAGGCCAGTACGGTCGTTTGGAATACCTTCGGAATTTCTTTTCCGTATGCATTTGCCATTCGTGGAATGATCTGCAGGAATCGGCCACATGTGCTTCTGCGCTGGTAGTAGGGTTCAGAGCCCGTGTTGACCATGCACTCGTTTTGCTGCACTATCTTACATGACTCATTCCCCATGACCAAACACGAGAGTGTCTGTTAGAGATTTCGCTGACGATCAGCTCCCAGAATATGTTTCACCTTTTCCACTTTCTGTATGCGTTTACTAGGCGACGCAGTCTCATTTATCGTCATTTTTTATGGACTTGCAGTGGATTTATAGTTTATAGTACGTCTACTGCGGTGCTTACACCGGTGTAAACGTGCTTTTTCTGACAAAATTTCAAAAATTCACCATGACCATCCTACTGGACCTGTTAATCTGTAGCTTTTTACCTGTACTAAACCATA